TGCCACTGCACTCCAGCCTGGGTGACAGAGTGAGACTCCATCTCAAACAAACCAAAAGAATATAGGAATAGGCCAGGCATGATGGCTCACTCCTGTAATCCCAGCACATTGGGAGGCTGAGGTGGGCAGATGGCTTGAACCCCGGAGTTTAAGACCAGCCTGAGCAACATGGTGAAACCCCATCTCTACAAAAAGATATAAAAAACTAGCCAGGTATGGTGGTGTGTGCCTAGAGTCCCAGCTACTTGGGAGGCTGAGGAGGGAGAATCACCTGAGCCCGGGAGGTTGAGGCTACAGTGAGTCATGATCACACCACTGCACAGCAGCCTATGTGACGGAGTGAGACCCTGTGTCAAAAAATACAGGAATAGCAGAAAAGGGAACAGCTAATTCTCAAGAAGCTAACTTAGAAGAGCCCACACCCCCCTGACCAGGATTGAAATTGACACCTTATTGTGTAGGGTGTGGCTTTTCCCGTGTTGTGCTAGAGCCAGTCTGTACAGGCTGGCCAGAGCCAGTTTCGCACATCGCTTCCCAAGTCTGCATTGAAATCAGCCATGGTGGGAGTATTCACACCATAGAAATCAGCAAACACAGCAAAACCAAAAAGGTTTTGAACTACCTGTTAGCTATTTGTTAAATGTCTGCCAACACAAGTCAGGCCCAGTAGCAGGTACCTATGGTCCCAGCTACTTGGGAGGCTGAGGTGGTCCAGCCTGGGCAACATAGCAAAATCCTACCTAAAAATTAAAAAAAAACTTTTTTAGTGTGCCTATCGTATAGAGTGCAAGGGACAAATGCATTTGATGCGGCTGGAGAGATGATGTTTATGAGAGATCAAGGCCTTTTAAGCCAGGTAAGGGATTTTGGATTTAAGAGCAGTGGGGAGCTATTACTAGGGAGTGACACCATCAGTTACTCAGTTGTGTACTTCAGAAAGATCACTTCATCTACAGTGTGGAAAACTGCAAACAGACTCCTATTAGGAGACTTGTGGTAACCTCCAAGTAATATGGCTACCTAAACTGAGGGAGTGACCATGGGGATGTGGAAGAGGAGACAGATTTGAAAAGTATGAAGGGGGCAAGATCAGTAGGACTTTTGGGGGTAGATCTGACTGCCAGGCAGAAACCAGCTCACCCTCCCTCAGTTTATGCTTCAAGCCAAACAGTGCAAATGGCTCCAAGTTTTCCTCCCAAGAGCCTTAGGCTCTGTCCAGCAGCCCCATTCTACAGGCCTTTCTCAGGCACCTGCCTCTGCACACACCCAAGAGGACCCTGAGGCCAGAGGTGGCAGAGTGGCTGCCCTACAGACAGTGTGGCCGTAAGCCCTGGAGGGAGGGAGGAGAGCTGCAAACCAGGGAGCACATGGAAACGGGGAAGCTTTGGGCTTAGTGTTAAGGGAGTCAGTCTCCTCTTCTTCCAGCCACCCAAAAATTACTGAAGCAGTGTTGTAACTGTACTGCTAACTTTCAGAAGGAGGCTTTATATTGCAATGTTACGGATGAAGAAACAGACTAAAATAGATGAAATAATTTGTCCAAGGCCACATAACTGATAAGTGACAGAGCCAAGATCTGAACCTAAATATGATTTCAAAGCCTGTGCACATGGTACTCTTTACTCAGAGCTGCAGGGAAGAGAAGGGGGGCTTTTGCATTTCCAACTTGAACTGTGGAGCAGAGAAAGCCAAACTCACTGTCCCAGTCAGCACTGCTTCCCAGACAGATGAGTGCTTGGTTCCACCAATGAGACTATCTCTGCTGCCCAGGAACCAATGCAAAGTTTAACTAAATTGAAAATTAAATGTAACTGGATGGGCAGAGTGGCTCATGCCTGTAATTCCAGCACTTTGGGAGGCCGAGGCGGGTGGATCACCTGAGCTCAGGAGTTTGAGACCAGCCTGGCCAACATGGTGAAAACCCATCTCTAGTAAAATTACAAAAAATTAGCTGGGTATGATGGCGGGCGCCTGTAATTCCAGCTACTCGGGAGGCTGAGGCAGGAGGATCCCTTGAACCCGGGAGGCGGAGGTTGCAGTAAGCCGAGCTCACACCACTGCACTCCAGCCTGGACAACGAGCAAAACTCCGTCTCAAAATAATAGAGTAAATGTAATTAATTCTTGTTAATTAATTCTGCAAATTAATGCTGTCACCTTAATTGCTTAATGGAACAATGAGAAATGAAGGTCTTTATTTAAAAAAACGAAAGCCTTGAAAGAGTTCCATCAGCCACAAAATTGGCATACCCATAAACCTTATATCAAATGAGCAAATTTGGTTGGGCACGGTTGCTCACGCCTGTAATCCTAGCATTTTGGGGGGCTGAGGCAGGCAGAT